GATAAGATTAGAGTCGTCCTTAGTCAGGGGTTTTAAGTGGTTTTATGATTTAATAGTGTAGATTTTCCAACTAGAATATGACTAGACCTCACTAAATGTGCTAAAATACAGAATAGGCTGAAATTTCAGCTCATCATTAGCGGCAACAATCGTTACCTCATATCTTATTCAAGTATTGCTGATATTCCCGAAGCATACTCATGTGAAAATAGTAATAAATGCATTATTGCATCATCGACAAACCCATTTTAAAGTATGATTTCTAAAAGCATTAGCTTTCCTTGAAAGCAAAATTTGCATTGTGGCCAACTAACCCCTACGGCTGCGTAGTGGAGTGGTACCCTGTCGCCACAACTCCCACAATTCGGTTGCAAAACCTGGTTTAGGTGCTGATGAAACGTAGACGAGGTCGAGCCTGCAGTCCACTCCGGCCCGGAGGAGAGCACATTTTTTAGAATTAAACTTTAATGAAATTCAATGGCATCATTAGGTCTACCTACAGCATTTTGGTAAAAACTTAACTTAAACTAACACGGGCTAATTTTGCTACCAGAAGTTCAATGCCCTAACAAGGTGCATTTTTTGAACAGTAACTAGGCAAGGAAAGATCATCAGATGTAAGATAGTTATGCCATGGTCATTAAAGGAAAAATTGTAGCAAAGGACATTACGAAAATTGATAGCATACCCGTGAGTAACCATGACCTAAAGATTGTCGCCAGTTCGCTAAATCAATGAATAATTGCGCAAAATTAATCAATGATGTGGACGCCAAGGCAACCTGACGTTGAAAGGCAAATAATTACTTTGTTTTTTGCTTGAAGAGTCCCGTATAACAATCAATATGAAATCACACATGTATTCGTGTGTAAGTGTGTATGTCTATGCAAGTTTGTTGCCAACTCTGTATATGTACTTTTGAACATACGGATTTAGAATACACTATATTTTGTAAAGATATAAATTTTCTTATATTTCAGTAAGGTAGTGTGAATTTTATACAAAAGGATTTAATTCTTCTTAGTAATATTAAATACTGCTCTTGCAGAAACATTTGTCGTCTTCTCAAGTATCGTCAAGATAAGGCCAACTCAGGCAAACTGATGGCTTATGTTTGAATCTCTTGCGTCCTTCTTTCTTTATTTCCCCATTTATATCATTATAAAGGCGACCATATGAGAAGATATTTCATACAATTTCGAATACGCAATAATTAAGCCTTTCAACGTACGTATGAAGTAGCTTTTTTTTAAACAGTTTTTAATATTTTTTTATTCAAAGTGCGGCATGCCAATATAAACTTTTTTTTATTTTGTTTTCATTTCGAGCCATACATTTAGTAAATTCACAATATACTTGCGCAAGAATCATTATTCGTTTAAATGTTTAAGTCGCCTAAAGCATCCTTACCTTGAACTTCTACTAGGAAGTTTGTGTTTTGCTAGATGATAAAACATAATAGAAATCACATATTTGCACATTTTTGTGTAGGTGTGTGTGCCTATGCAAGTGCGTTAGCAAGCATAGGTATAAACATTTTGAACATACAAATTTAAAATAAGTTTATATTGTATAAAAGTATGAAGGTTTAAACCATCGGAGTTATACCATTTTTGTAATATATAAATACTATTTTAACAGAAGCCATCGACCAGGCAAGTTGATGGCTCATGTAGGAATCTCTTCGATCCTTATTTCTTTTTTTTGTAATTTATGCAAATAGAAATTAAGCATAGAGTCTGCTATTTTTGTCTGCATTGAATTGTTAACAATTAGGCCTCACTAAGTACATTATGAGACCACTTTATTGTATAACAGGCGCATTTACATTTAAGGGTAGTCCTTAACATTTAATCATTTAAGTGAGGCAATATAAACCTAAATTTTGATTCATTTTGTTCAAGTTGTACGCCTAAATATCTTGTAGATTGATATCATGTGCTAATTTACCTTCTGCAAAATGAAGTTGTCATTTACATCGTTCACACCGTCAGATTTCAATGGTTATTCCTAATCTGTTCCGTGTAGCTCCCTATAGGCCTAATTTTTCGGGACAGCCGATCCTGCCTCCCAGCATGGTCTCTGTTAATTCACCGCTCGCCGCTGACTTTGTGGCCGAAGCCGAAAAATTGAATGCCTTCTATAAAGCTCTTCCAAACGGTCGTCGTGCTGACAACATTTCGGCTGGTTCCAGCGAACTTCTACCTCCCCATCCGACATCTTTATTCCCCCAGTCAGGTCCGAATGCATCAATCGCACCGGCTGACCCCTTGTTCATGGATGTGCTGAACCAGTCATGTGTGACGAGCCTTCTGGCAAATCAAAACTCTGTGACGGCGGATGCTGCCGCAGCCTACTACCGAGCTGTGATGGCGTTGTCCCAGTCTCATCAGCCCTGCCTGCTCGACCAGGACCAAGTCGTCAATATCTCCAGGCTTTGGCAGCCTGGCGAGCATCTCCCTACGGTACCGCAAAAGACGCAAGCGGCCGCGGCTGCCATGACGTTAAACTGTTGGTCGGACACAATGGCTGGACACAAGAATATGCACTGCACTCCAAAGATGGGTCAAAACACTTTGAGACGGATGAAAAAAGGGGAAATTGCGACTCCGACAACTAAAGGGAATTTGGACCTTGATTCTGACTATTCAGGCGCAAGCACTCAGGTGAGACGAAAATTTCGGTTGCCAAGGCACCCATAACTTACTTAATTTACACCAAAACAATGGTCTGATTGAGCTTCATTTTCTCTCTGATCTGATCAATCTGCTATTCAACAAGTCTACTTGATCGCGCTTCTAATCTCATATTGGGCTTATTTTCCAATTAATCTGCAATATGCATGTTCGATACAGAATGGCAGAGGCAAATCTTTATACTAGAATCTTCTAAAATATATACAAAATTATATCATTTTCTCTATTAATTCACCCAATTAAGGCTACAAGGGGTAAAATAAAAGTATAATTAATGATATATTTAACTTTTACATCGAAAATATAAACTAATTAAAGGGTTTATTTGCATTTTTATGTAATTATTCGAAACTAATATTTGATCATATATATTAGATGTTTTCAGCATATTTGGTTTAAGATGATAAGGGGATAGTTAATTGAAGTTTCCCAAATCATATGAGTAGACTTTGCGTTTTCAAATGGTTTTCTAAAATGCAGTTTCGACTTGGATAAGGTCTCAACAGCACGCCCAACGGGAGTTGAACCATGACAGTGCATTGTATAACTTCCGAATGTTAGCCATTACTCCATTTTATTTACTATAACCATCGTCTATGTTACTTATCTTTCGTTTATAAGAAGGTTTTTAAGATAACCAGTAAATCATATATATGAGATAATTGGATTATTATTAACTTTCATATCTGCATGAGTGAAATTGAGGGTGAATTAAAGTACCAGTCCCTTTATCATCTTAAACGAAATAGGGTGAATTCATTTCATATACATGATCTACTGTTAGTTTTGAAAGCTTACCTATAAACAAATAATAAGTAATGTAGTCAATTATTATAGCGTATACAACTTTGCTTTATTTGCAATCACATCAGAGAGTGTGATAATGAAATATGCCTAGCTTTACTTGAAATTCACATCTGCCCTGTGACGCCAGGGCACTCATGGCAATGTGGTGTAGTGGTTAATGCATCGAGGCCATACACTGAACTCTCATGGCTCAAGTCTTGATGGGGGTGCTAATGAGACCTAAGCTGGGGCGAAACTGCAGTTCACGTCTGGTGGGAATATCTTGTGGAAAAGCGAGGCTATGTGAAATTGAATAAAAACGTACGGTCAAACATATTATTGTGCGAATATTCGATTGCAGCTGATTTTGATTTGCTATGCTTTACTTTCTAAAAGGTATTTTCATCTGGATTTAATAGGAAATGAGATCACAAAGTATAGTTATTTGTGTATCTGTGTAGTTTTTTATTTCGTGTTGTTAATGTTGGCGTCTCAAGCTAAAAGCTATGCAAAAATCGTTCCAATTGTTTTGTTATTCAAAGTCTTTAAATATTTTCTTGAATCATATATCTTCATTAAATTTGCATCACTCTAACCTTATATGTATATGCGCACAGTTGATCGAGTAGTATTG